AGTTTTCTGTTTCATTTTTTATACTTAGTCACAGTTTGATGCATAACACTGTGATATAACTGAACATGACTTGAACAACACCGTGGGGCTGAATTCATCACCACAAGACAAATCTTCAAAAAAGAAATGTGAAAATTCATTTTCCCTCTGGCTATCAACATATATTTGGGGCTAAGTCAATTCCTGAGGTGATTTGGTGTGTTGATATAACAGGCATCTACTCTCTGGCCTCCCCAAGCCTGGGTCTACTCGTATAAGGTGCATACTATGATTTTTCCCAAAGTCTATTCCATGAAACACTAGTCCTTTGATTTGCTTCACAATAAAAATTATGTGAGAGAAAATAATAAAACACTTTGCAATGGGTTATGGACATTTAAAATCATGAACATTATTTTCATTTCTTATTGCTGCACAACACTTAGGTAGTTTATGAAAAATATTGCAGTGAGGACAAAAATCTATTTAATTTTCAAAACCAGTGTTTCTCAGAACTCTGATAAATTAACTCTTCCTTTTGTAATTATCTATTACAATACCTCAAAAATAGTGTTCTAAGAAACTCATTTTAGGAAATATCACAGATCACCAACTTCTAGATGCACATTTTCTTCAATTTTTTTTACCCACTGAAATTAGGGTGCTTCTTATATTTGATGATGTTCCGGGTTCAATGAATAAGATATTGCCCTAGCAGCTTTCTTGTCAGTTATGTGTACTATCTTAGTTATGATTAAGCTCATCTTAGAGTGACAAATATCCAAAATGACAGTGGTTTAAACAACATAGAAATTGATCTCTTAGCAAACAAATCTGTAGGTGCATGGTCCTTTAGTAGGATTTCATTTCGTGGTGTTGGATATTCAGGCTTCTTCCTTCTTGTTCCATTTTCCAAAACCTTCATATCCAAGGTCATATAATGGCTCAAGAGGGCTGCTCCCTGTCCATCTGTAATACCCAAGTTCCTGTCAGCAGTAAAAGAAAAAAAAATCAATAAAAACAAGTAAAAGTAAAGTGCCAGTCTCTTAAGGAAAATTCCCAGAAGCTTGCAGTGACACTTCTGCTTATATCCTGTAGGCCGGAACTGAGGAATATGACCATACCTAGTAGCCAAGGTGGGGCTGGGGAATGTAGTCATTTTCCTGAGCTTGCATGTACTGAGCTAAAATTGTTATTACTGTGAATCAAGGGGAAGCCTATGAAAAGGGGAAGGACTGGAGAAGAACTAGCACTATTTGCTATAGTATGATCGCTGAAAATTGATATTTACAAGAGGTAGGCCATTACAAAATTACTCTATAAATAGAAACTAGAGGAATATCAAAGCATAACTCTTTCAGAGTTGGGAAATGAAGGCAAATATTGTTAAAGATGAAAAATTCATGTTTCCATTAGCAGCCAGAAAATTAGCCCTTTCCTCTCCAACATCAAATAGTTTAAAAGAAATTTCATTGTTTTCATGGCTTTGGATTGTGAAGGTCAGAACAGAATGCTATTCTCTGTTGCCTTCCTTTGAGTCTCAGGTCACTCTGATTATTCAAATTTAAGTGGGGGAAAGTGAAACTGCAGATAGTGGGAATGACTCATGTAGCGGCTCTTGTGTAGATATGGGCTCATAGTAAGAATGCCCAGAATTTGATTAGTTTGTTCTCAAGCTGCTCTGCGATTGTTTGCATTACTCTTGCAGATGTTTTGATTGAGTTAAATGCAGAATTACTGTAAAAAAATTCTCCAGTATTCACCATTGCATTTAATTCTTATATTTGTTCATGATATCTTTAATCTCTAATTTCTAAATAGAAATATTGAAGTAGGGAGAATGTTCAAATTTAACCTTAAATTTGACTACTATTAATTTGGAAATGTAATTAGATTATTACTGAATTTTTTCAATGTTATAATTGAAAGAATTAAAAAATGCCCATATGTAATAGTGTAGATTTTTTTTGAATACAAATTTCTAACTTTTTAAGCCACAGTTATTTTGGAATTTCTGTCACTCTTAGCTGATCCTCCTGATTCAGTTTGATTGTTTTGCTTTATTAAGCTATACTTTGGCAAAGAAAAAAAGAAAAAAAAGTATCATTCATTAAAGATAGGCTTCTATTACCAATTCCTAAAGCTGTTATTTTGTGATGCTTACCTTTATTTATAAGCTCTTAAAAAACACTTTACAAGGAAATGTAGTAATTATGTAATCATGGGGTATAGAATTTGGTCTGTAATCATTATATCAGATTATCTGATATCATAAGGCAAATAAAATTGCAAGGTAATATATGCCCACTGGGCCTCAAATCTTGTGGGGTTGTTGTTAAGAAAAGCGATATTAAATAAGTGGGAAAAATTTTGAAAGATCCAATAGGTGAGCTTCATGAATTGATCTGGGCTACTGGGTTGGTAAATATGTTTTCAATAAAAATGTTATTTTGCTTGTTGTTTCTCTATTGCCTTATCTTATTGAGAAGGATTAGCCATTTATGTGTTTTTTATTTTTGAAAAATAAATCATAAAAGCAACAAATGAATGCTGGTATTATAATTGAACTTAATATGCCTGCACAGAAAAAAACTTTTAAAGAGATGAAATCTACCATATATATACATATATATATCCTCAATATTATCAGATATTTATTGAATACCCCTCATGTACAAAACTCTCTGGTAGGCTTTGGAATGTGGAAATCAAATTCTAAATAACTAAACCTTGCTGAAATATGTTTGAAGTAATAGTTATATATTCATTGCTTCAACAGAGAAGGGATATATCCTAGCTGTGCTATTAAATTGGAATTAGAAAGTGATAAAATAACTACTGATACTTTTTTTTGATACATGAGGCAATTTAATATCATAGATGCTTTTATTAAAAACACACTCATAAGTCAATAATAAAATTGGAACGTATGAGTAATATATGAGAAATGTGTACAGAAGCCCCCCCCCTTATCCATGGGGCATATATTCCAAGACCATGAATGGATGCCTGAAACCAGAGATTGTACTGGACTTTATATATGCTATATTTTTCCTATACATACATACCTGTGATAAAATTTAACATATAAATTAGGTACAGTAAAAGATTAACAACAATAACTAATAAAATAGAACAATTTATAACAATATACTGTAATAAGAGTGATGTTAATGTGGTCTTTCTCTCTGATAACTAATCTGATAACCAAGATGGCTACTAAGCGACTAATGGGTGGTGAGTGTATATAGCAAGGAGACACTGCACAAAGGGATGATTTTCATTCTGGGTGGAATGGTGGAAGATTTTATCATGCTACTCAGAACAGCATGCAATTTAAAACGTATGAATTGTTTAATTTCTGGAATTTTCCATCTGATATTTTCAGACCATGGTTGATTGTGAGTAACTGAAACCACAGAAAGCAAAATGTGGATAAGGAGGGACTCCTATACTTCTATCTCAGAAAGACTCCTTTGGAGAGTGAGTCTATATCTCTGAAACTATCTACTCAGAGCAGTCAATTTATTCTTTTCCAACTATAAGTTTTTTCAGCATAAGAATCTAAAAGCACCTGGATTTCTATGTGAACCTGCTTGACGTTTTCTACACTTTTCTTCCATCCTCTAAATAGCAGTGTCATTAGTAATGAAAATCAAGATTTAATAACTTTCTCATCAGGTGATAATATTTCTTTAAATCAAAACTGAAGTCTCTCATTAAAATTCAAATTTGTAAATATTTTGGATGGGTAGTTTTCCAAGCAGACATGTAAATCCTACGTTTTCCTTTAGTCTTTAAAACTGTTATACACTTGTCAGAAGTAATTTTGTTTGCAAGATATGAGATCAGTAGCCTGACTTGTTCAATGCATAATCTTAAAACTTTTAAATAGATAAATTTTTAGTTTTTATAGACATTTTACTTTTGTTACAAAGTATCCATGTATTTCTGATAAATTGGGGGAATGATAAATAGAGCATGGTGTTAAGAATTGTAAAACCTGCATCTGATTTCAGGATTATTTTTTATTTAATTGTCATTTAAGTTTTAGAAGTTTATTTCCTCCTTTATAAAACAGAGTGAATAATATTTGCCTTGATTATATCACACAGAGCTATTGAAAAGATAAAAGAAAATACTGAGTATTAAAACACTTTGAAAACTTTAAAGTTCTCTCAAAAATGATGTGTGAATATGTGTGTATGCATAAGTGGTAAAAATTAATAAACAGATCCTTATTTGGTTAGAGTCCTGATTATTGATGGGAGTGAAAGTTACCACTCTTTAGAAAAGTTGGGGGAAAACAACAGGGCATTGTGCTTTAGATTTTCTTTGAGTGACATGAACAGAGCAAGGTCTATAACATTTAATTTGCCTTCTTGGAAGGACAGCAGCTGAAACTGACTCTGTCAGAACTTTAACATGGGCTCTTAAGATACAATGGCATTGTATATTTGATATTACACACTTCCTGAAGTCCTTTTTAATCTTTGAAGATTTTATAAATATTAACCAATTTGTCCCAGTTTTGTTTCCCAATAACTGGTATAAAATTGGTGTTCCTTGGGGCTCCAACTGTGCTAATGCATAGTTGCTACAAAAGCATTCTTCCAAAATTAATTTCATATAGAATCACACACCCTCCAACATAGGAGAGACATAAAGTAAATGTTATTTATGAGGCCAAATTTAAATAACACCACATGGTCTCTCACGAGGATGACCAAAATTCTAATTTAAGATGACAGAAACTTTGGCCAAAATCAGAATAAACTTTCTATATATTGTTCTTATGTTTTTGTAAGTATGTTATGATTCCTCACATTGATTTGTCATTTTCAAACATATATGAAATAGAAATCTTAATAACTAATGCTTTTCAAGGGTGTTCATTCAGAAAACTTGAATGTACAAAATTTAAAAAAATGACAAATGTTGTAAAAGGGCATGACATTTTCTTATAATGGTTATTGGGATACATTTATAAAAATCTGACACAACTGCCTTTTCTTCTTTAGGCTTCTTTACCTGCAATAACTGATCTTCCAGAGTTTTTTGTTGCTTCGTATAAATGGCCTGGATGGACTCATGGCCCGTTGGATCAAAAAAATTGTGCTGCATCGTGGGCATTTTCCACTGCAAGTAATAAAGTTTAATTACTTTCTTATAAATTCTCTCTTTGACTCTAGATCATGGGACAGTAATTAAAAGGTTTTAAAATTTAGAATATTTAAATATTAACCTTTGGTTAATTAAAATAAAATCTTATTCTGGCCAGAAAAAGCAACCTGAAGATTATATAAAAATCCATTTTACTCTGAAAATTTGTCTTTATTTTTAGGGTCGAGTTTTGTTTTGTTTTAAGATTTTTATTGGGGAATTAGGAGAGGGGAACATTGTTGGGGAATCGGGGAAGGGGAGCAGACAAGTTGCTGTCCTTTTGTTCTTCATTCTAGTTGTGGAGGACGTCACTTTGCTGGCCCATGTTGGTATTATCATTGCGCTCTTCCTGGGTGAGGCAGTCGCTCGCCAGCCATTAGATGGCTGCTCACGGTGGCTCACGCCTGCTGCTGGCCAGCCCCACTGCAGCCTACTCTGTCATTGGTGACTCATGGCAGCCCAGCTCCAGGTTGAGCTGTTATTCACCATCTTAGCCATAGAGGGTGCAGCATCACTGCCCTAATGTGGGCCCTAATGTCCGAACTGGGGCCCTGCTGCTCAGAGCTGGCGTCCCAGGTGAATTCTTAACCAACGCGCCACTGGGCTGGCCCTAAGGTCTAATTTTAAATAGAGAGTAAATCAAAAGAACACCAAAGAAAAATTGCCAAATTTTGTTTTTCCTTTGAGAGGTAAGGCCAGATAATAAGAGTGTAAGGTTCTGTTTTATCCATAATATGTGTAGTGTTAATATTATTATGCATATACATGCATCCATATAATTTTTTATATTCTTTTCAAAAGATTTTCAAAAGTACATTAAATTGGTAAACTAATTTCATATAAAATAAGACTTCAGAACTAAATAATATTGGATTAAGTGGGTTTCATGTCATTTTAGATAAAAGCAAATATATAGGTTCTGACTCTAAAGTGACATAACTGGTCTTTTAATAAGAGTACTTTCCAAATTAGTGTTGCTTTAGTTCTAAAGTATAATAATATCTCTTTTATAGCCACTTTCATGTAAGTTCACAAGTCCCATAAATCAAAACGCAGGTTAATGCTAAGATTTGGCCTCCAAATTATCCTCAAAGGAGTGTTAGTTGCATTCCAGCAATTAGATTGAAACTGACATGATGGTGATTGACTGCTATCAAAGATTTTAATAAAGCTATGCTCTAGTCTTTAAAGGTAATTCCAACAGAGTACTTAAAAACAGTCTAAGCACTGAAAGCATTGAGAAATAATTACACAGGCTCTCTTAGAGGAAATGGCTTTGAAGGGTGGCGCTCCTTGGGACAGAAAAGTACTGATATCTTTGTCTAAATATTATTACTTCATAGTGTTAGCTAGTTTGTTCTAGAAATGATGCCAATGGCCAAGGTGACCTCTGGAGTGGCTCCCTCTGTTCACTCTATGCTTCTGCCTGCTCCCCCAGTATAAATGCTTCCTTGCTTTCTGATGTTTGTCCTCACTGCATTTGGGATCCACAGGGATTCAAAGGGGCCCCTTTGAACACTATTTCAGATGGGTGGGAGAGATTTAATCAGATAAATCATTTGTCATTTTATGTTTATGTGGTTAATATATTACACCTCCTACTGATATATAAGAATTTTGTTTTAGCTTTAGATTAGACCAGTGTTTCTGAAGATGTCTTAAGAAAGATGGCAGTGGTGAAATGCTAAGGATAACTTGCTAGGCTGGTGGGGCAGTGTGCTTTAATGTCCCCAGGTCACAGACACACAGATAGCCTCAGCACAGGGCTAAGTCTGGATTTGTCCCCATACCTAATTTACTGCCAGAGAGAAGGCTTTCAACGCTTTTGTGGTTTCAGAGGACACAGTTTTGTATCCTGTGTATTCACTATGGCAAATCAAGCTGATGCTGTTTATGTTTTTGAATGTTAAGTAAAGAAAAGGGTAAATTAGGTTCTTTTAAATATCTAGAACATTATGTCAGGAAGTAGTAGTTAAAGCAAGAAAGATGTCTTTCAAAGAAGCTAAAAGCTATAAAATGGAATAAATAAGATATTAAAAATATCTTATGAAATGTAAATGATTATTTTAAAAGATATTAAAATAATGTATATATGTATATTTTTAACATCTTATTTATTCCATTTTATAGCTTTTAGCTTCTTTGAAAGACATCTTTCTTGCTTTAACTACTACTTCCTGACATAATTTTCTAGATATTTAAAAGAACCTAATTTACCCTTTTCTTTACTTAACATTCAAAAACATAAACAGCATCAGCTTGATTTGCCATAATGAATACACAGGATATACACATATTCAGCCAAATAAAATTTGAGCAAGATATCAGAAGATGAAGAGGTAAAAGAGTTTGAAATATTTGAAATGGTGCGAGTGATCCATGCCACAAAGCAAATTTGGAGATGCAATAAAATAAGCAGGGAAAATAACAGTGTGTCTCAGAGATAAAGCCCAATAAAAGTTTTCCAAAAGAGAGTGGGAAACAATTTGCTGAATTGAGTCATTTTTTAATCTTCTGACCTTTTCTAAGTATTTCTAGTGAATTTGGATTAAACCTTCACTGTGATTCAGAAATGTCTGTATAAGTGCAACATATTGTATACCATTACAATTTAAAACATTTATTTTTTAGTTGAAACCTGCAGATTTGTGGGGCTGGAAGGGACCTTCAAGGTCACCTTTTTCAAGTCTTTGGTTTTATAAAAGAAGCACAAATAGGTAAAGTGACTTAACCAAAGCCAAAAGCCACGAAGTCTTAGAAATGATCCTGGAAGCCAGGTTTCTGACTCCTTGAATACTGCTTTCTTTACATTGTTAAAGTATATTCTGAGCCAAAGAATAGTTCTAATAATAATTCAGAAATTTATATTTGATTGTGAACCTTTGTACTGAAAGTCAAAGCATCAGATAATTTCTATTTTCTTTTATGTAAAAGGGAATTGTTTTCTTGAGAATAGCAGATGTGGTAGTGTTATGATGTCATTTGCTTCTATGAAATATACCCTAGCAGAATAATTGTTGGGAATTGAGAAGGATGTAGGAAGTTATAAAATCAACACATATTGAGCATCTGAAATGTGCCAGCATTGTACTATGGAATTGTACACATGCTGTAGTTACATAAAAACCATGGATATACAGAAATACATATGTAAGTGATTATTTTAAAATGAATTATTTTAGAATAATTCTAAATTAGCACTTTGCTGGGTTCCAGTACACAGACAATTTTGATGAGCAAAATCTATAACTTCTTCTGAGAAAATTGGATGGATAGAAGAAAGGTTATGACTTTGTTGCCTTCAATGAAGAGATTATCAAGAATGGGACTATACCAGGTATCCAACAGAAAAATATCTGTACCCAATAGCACCCACCCCAATTTTCTCATGATCTCATTACTCATATTAGTTTATCATGGTAACATGATCAAAATGAAAACATGTATAGTTTTTTGCTACTGGTTGATTACTTTTCCTATTCTATTACTCTGTGAAGGCAGAAGTATGACACTCTTGTTTCTTGTTCATCATTATCAATTCTAGTACTTAGAACAGCTGTCATCTAGTAGGCGATCAAAAAATATGTGTTGGTGAAAGGGATAAATTGATTAACAACAGCCATGCTAGGGAATTACTTAAACAGAAGAATAGAAGCTTCACTCATAAAAAGCACATACGTATATCTGAATTCCATATCTACTAAAATAAGATTAAGATCATTATTCTCAAGAATATTAGAAACATAAAAGTGTGTATCTGGCTTTTAGATATTTTATACAATAGATGCATATTAGTCTGCATTAGCATAAGGATGGTTTTCTGGATAGTTAAACTAGATACCAGTTTAAAAAACAAGGATTTGATTGTTTCCAAGGTATCAGATTAGAATAGATAAATTTTCAATTAATATTTCTATGATCAGTTTTTCTAATTTCCTTAGTTTAGTCATATATATATATATATATATATATATATATATATATATATATGACTATATGTAAGATGCTGTTCTAGGTACAGGAGATATAAATCTAAGATAGGCCCTTGCCCTCAAGACACTTCACTTGACAGATTTCTTAATGAAAAATTCAAACAAACAAACAAACAAACAAAAAATCATGGACACAGACAGCAGTTTAGTGGTTACCAGGGGTAAGTGGTGGGTAGGGAGATAGAAGAGGGTAAAGGGGGTCAAATATATGGTGATAGAGGGAGATCTGACTCTGGGTGGTGAGCACACAATGCAATATATAGATGATGTATTATAGAAATGTACACTTGAAACCTACATCATTTTACTAACCAATAAATTTAATAAAAATTAAAAAAAAGAATTCAGAAGTATATAGAACATGAAAGAAATAAAAACTAGAAAAGTCTTTGAGTTGATAAGACAATGGAGCAACACAAAAATTGGACAAAAATTATGACAGTTGAATTTGTTGGAATTCAAAGATATATTAATACTATTTTGCCTTAATTTTAAATTACATAAGATTCAGAAGACTAGGGTTCAAATAAAAAGGGCTATGTAAATTATTAGAAATACCATGTGCCATTTGAATACTAATCAATGTTTTATTTTAAACAGGTGTGGCAGCTGACCGAATAGCAATTCAGTCTAAAGGTCGATACACAGCCAATCTATCCCCTCAAAATTTGATTTCTTGCTGTGCCAAGAACCGTCATGGATGTAACAGTGGAAGCATCGATAGGGCTTGGTGGTTCCTGAGAAAACGTGGGTAAATAGCTGCCAAACATGTATTTCTAGGAGTCTTATGATTGTGACTTGGGGTTAGAATAAGGAAAAAAAAAAAAAATATATATATATATATATATGTATACACACACACACATATATATATATATATTTCAAAAATTTTACAAGAAAATTGTACAAATATATGTATATGCTACATCTATATAAATATATGTATTATATTTAAATGTATACTATATTTGGTATCTACTGAGATTATAAGCTATTAGAAACAATGATTTAAAGGATGCATATATTCCTAGCTAAATCAATAGAAGACTCAAGGAGCATTGTCTTCTTGTTGCTCTGAGCCAAATGGCTCTACTGATCCCTTAGGAGCAAATGGATTAATTAATATTACTGATACCTCTGTTGAACCTTTCAGTTACCCAGGCAGATAAATAGATAATATCAGGTAAGAATTAGACTAAGAACCAGATGAATAAAATAAAGAAGTAATTTACAGCTGCCTCAACTCATTAGTATCATTAATTGTCCCCATCTCATTTGATGAGAAGAGGCAGGTTGCATTTCCTTACTTTCATGTACACAGCATTCTATTATCTACTATGAGAGCTAATGTACTGAAGAGCTACGTTATTCAGCTAAGGATACTGCAGCTGATAACTAGTAGTATACGAGTATATATGTTCTGCTCACCTGTTATTTCCTCATCCAGTGAATGCTCTGGATCTGCTATAGAACAATAAGATGCTATGAAAAACTGGGTGTCAGGTATTGATGGGTGGAAATAAATATCTTAATTTTTTTTTCGTATGTTTTGCCTAATAAGATGGTTCTTAGGATGGACAACTTGGCTGATACCATCCTGGTATAGTAGTGCTTGGTTGACTTCTGTTTTGTACTATAATAAAAACCAAAGCCTTTTAGGAACTTAAATATGTAAGTTATCATTGAGATGTAACTAAATCTCATTGTATTAGTTTGCTCACGTTAACATAACAAAATACCATAAACTGGGTGGATTACACAGCAGACATTTATTTCTCATAGTGGTGGAGGCTGAGAAGCCCAAGATCAAAGTGTTAGCACATTCAGTTTTTGTTCTTCTTATTATTATTAGTTTCAGGTGTACAAAACAATGCAATAGTTATACATTTCACCCTTCACAAAGTGATAATCCCCCTTCCCCAATCTATTGCCCCTCTGATATCATATACATTTATTACAATTCCATTGACTCTATTCCCTATACTATACTCCATATCCCGTGACTATATTTATATTGAATCATAGTTGACATATAATATTATTCAGCTTCAGCTTCAGGTGTGCAGTGCAGTGGACAGGCACCTACACCGCCCATGAAGTGGTCTCCCTAAGTTTTTGAAGCTCTCTTTCTGGCTTGCCTTCTCTCTGTGTGCTCACATGACAGAGAAAGTGCTCTAGTGCTCTTCCTCTCCTAATATGACATGAATATCATTATGAGCCCTACCCTGATAACCTCATTTAAAGTTAATTACTCCTAAAGGTTCTATCTCCAAATGCTAGCATATTGGAGATTAAGGTTTCAACATGTGAATTTGGGTGACATAATTTAATCCATAGCACTCATTAGCCAAAGTAACACATTTGATGCATTATTTTTTGAAGTGTGTTAGTGTTTTTCATGACTTTGCCTTTATTATACTCCTTGTTCAGATTTTCTTACTCTGTTGAACACCATTGAATTTTCTTGAACCAATCCTATTATATACTTTAATGGGAAGTTCAACATTATATATCTATAAAACCAATTTCATTGTTTTATTTTTCTTACCATCTGCTTCTATAGTCAATGAATTGTGTTGAACTCAAGCCAAATAATTTGTACTTTTCTATATTCAGTTTCAAAATTAGAGATTAAAATTGTTTTTATCTTTTATATAATGTATATATCTGATAACTTTCTACTTTATTAACTTTAAATATTATGTTAGTATATACTATTTCTCCAAAGTATCATGAGTTATAGACACATAATAGTTGAAGTCTTTTAAAAACAAAAATGTGAAAAAACAACACCAAAACCTTAATTCTAAAACTAAAACCTTAATTCTAAAACTGACATAATTTATGAGAATACCCCATCGAAATATAATAAAATTTATTGTCTTTTTCACATTAAATTTGGCTTTTCTACATTGTAATTATAGACACAGAATGAAGGAGTACTTCCCCTATTAATATTACCTCAGATTTTTTGACAGTCACTTTTCATCTTCAGGAAATTCTATACTGTATATAGAATTACTTATTTAAGTGGACTGAAGTAAGATTTTAAAAATTATAATGAAGAAATAATAGGGGGGCAAGGAAGAGTCATTGAACTTCTGTATTAGAATCAGTCAACATTTTGAAAATTATGTATGTAAGTATACAGAATAATTTGTGAATGCTTTATTTAGTAAAATTACATATACGTAGGATATTATATTTTCCTAAGTATTACTTTTATTTCTTTGCTTATTCCTCATAGACTGGTATCTCATGCATGCTACCCACTTTTCAAGGATCAAAATGCTACCAATAATGGCTGCGCCATGGCAAGTAGGTCTGATGGGCGGGGTAAGCGACATGCCACAAAGCCATGTCCCAACAACATTGAGAAATCTAATAGAATCTACCAATGTTCTCCTCCATACAGAGTCTCTTCCAAAGTAAGTTTCAATGGCAAGAATTAACAATGGTTAACTTGCTCAAAAATGTATAGCTCTGCTGTTATTAAGATTATTTAAAAAGTATTTAAAATATTAGATTCTAAGATAATGCTATGTTTTCAGGTATAATTTTTTATATTCTTAAAAATATAAATGACTGGTTTAAATTTTGAAATGTCTTTGGAAATAGAGTCTTAAAATTATATTTTTAAATTAATTAATATACTTGACAAATAAAAGCTAAATCAAACCCTTTTTCATTGACTTTTTGTAGTAGGAGCTCATTTTATCAACCCTTTGCCTTACTCCCCAAAATTATTGAAGTAGACAGCCGTGGTGGGTAAAAAGGCCCCTTTGCATTCCAGTTTGGCAAATTTTGCTCCATGATATCGGTGTTACCCAGAACTTCTCACTTTCAGAGTATCTCAACCTTCAGATGTTTCCAGTTACCTGCAGAATACAACCCAGCATTTTTACCATGACACACAAGCTTTTGTGATTTGGTTATGACCTTTCTGACCTACTGCTTTTACAAACTCGTGTCCTGCCAGCCTCTCCCTCTCCACCCACTCATAGTGTTCCTGCTGTAAGAACTGCTGTCTGCTTCCTAGATATACCATGCTCTGTCATGTTTCTCTACTTAGCCTAGTGATGATTCCTCTTACCCAAATGGTTATCCCACCTGTTTCCATCTGGTAAAATCGCACATATGTGTCAAGGCCCAGGTCAAAATTTGACCTTCTCTGGGAAGTTTTCTTGACTCCTGGGTAGGATTAATTTCCTTTTCCTGTTTGTATCTATGGCACTTGGTGCTTGTCTCTATAATAGAACTTATACCATTTTATAGTGCAATTATTTATGTTACTGTCTTTGTTTATTCCACCAAAATATAAATACATCGGGGATAGGTGCAGGGTCAATATTTGTTTCTATCCTGGTTTCCAGTGATACTCATGTGTACCCTATGATACATGTGTGTAGATGAATGAATAACCTGACTTTTTAGTAAGGGCTGCGTTACACATTGCTTGGCAATACTAAAATATTTGCATGCTAAATCTACACTGAGGAATTTTACTAAATGGACATCTGGAATTGCTCCTGTGATCAAAAGAATGGAGATGGCACTAATCTCCACTAAGTAAACATAGTTTTAAGTTAATTATTTTTGTGTGTGACCATAAAAAGTTATTATATTTTCTCTCCATTCCAAAATTTTATGAGCGATAAAGTTAGTGAAACAAATGGTTTATCTTTAACAACTTCATCAATGTGACATTCCACACTGAGTATTTCAAAGCATGATGAATGGCAAGTGGTCAAGGCACATTGGATTGTACGACTCCTAAACTGATTGTACAGCAGCTAACATTATACACCAGACAATGGGTTTAGTGTGTTCTGCTAACAGCAATGATGCCATTGATATTTTTCCTTCTAGGAAACTGAAATAATGAAAGAAATCATGCTCAATGGACCAGTTCAAGGTAAGCTTGGATGAAATATAATTGCCTTGTTTATTCCTTTAATAAACAACATTACATTTTAGCTCATGTAAAAGAAGCTTAATAAAAGAAATAAAATTTTTACTTCCAGAGTATTCATAAGGGTTCAACAGGTCTAAGATCAGTGTACTTATTGGAGATATACTCACCTAGTAACTTCATTTGGTGTCATTTTATAGACTCATTAAATACTGGGAGTGCCAAAAAGATGTACACACATAACTTGTATTCATCTATTGTTATAGGTATATGTAGAGTATTACAATTTTAATACAGTTTTTTCTTTTCTTAAAAATTTTTTGACACCCTCTGTATATGATGATGGAAGGAGAACTGACTCTGGGTGGTGAGCACACAACGCAATATATAGATGATATATTATAGAACTATAGACTTGAAACCTATGTAACCATTGTCACCTCAATAAATTTAATTAAAAAATAAGTAAATAAGAAGATAGACTCATCCATAAATTGAATTCTTAAATATTAATGACACATATGATGAAAGTCTGCTAAACCTTTCCAAAGTGATCATGGACCAAGCAGATAGTCAAACATAAAATTCTAAGTGGTGAAGCTCATGTAAATGTTCAGTCATATTTAAAAATCTCACATAGTGTTAGAAATTTTCTCACCTTCAGTTTAAATAGATCAGGTAATGGACTGAAAAAAAAAATCAAGGTTTATTAGTAGAAATAAAGTAGATTCTTTCCTTTTTCTATAACCTTAAAATAAACCAAATAAGCCAGTATGACTTTGTGTTTTATAAAAGCCTTTCTAGTTTAATACATTTTATAAATGTGTTATGAATGGTAAACAAACAATAAATAAGAAAATAATGTACTGACTTACTGTACACTGACTTTGATTTTTATATCATCTCTGATACATAGTTCCTCTGTTTACATATTGAAGTAATTTTTGCACTAATGGAATAAAGACACCTTCATAGCCTATATTCTCTGTACTAAATATTGCCTTGAAGAGCATGGGAGAACAAATCTAGTGAGGTCTAAAATGGAAATTCAGGTTGTGAACACGGAAAGGCCCCAAATATATTATCAAATGAATTTACATTAACCAAATAAATTTAAATAAACCAAAATTAAATATTAAACATTTGATATATACCTAAGAAACTATAGCCCGGTTTTTGTTTTTCTGAATGCTAACCCAATTGATTCAACATCTAGCAGGAACCACAAATTTTAGATTGTGTTGGAAAAATTTTTATTGATTGTTATCAATTGATAACTTCTCAATCAATTGAGAAGCTGAAGCTTATACTGGACATGCCCTGTATTTAATTTTAAAAATCCTGGGACCTTACACAAAACCTGAAACGAATGAATATAAATTTTTTTTCCTCCTTACAATTGTGTTAATTTTGTTGGCTGTTATAAGAGCAGGGCAATTCATGTGTAATTTAAATATATGATTCAGTGAGTGGAGTGTGTGTGGCAGTTTGAATGCATTTGAACTTAAGGCTGAATTTAAAAATCCAGCTTTGATGTTTGCCACTTAAATGACTTTGGACAAGTTATTTAACCTCTCTGAATCTTCAGGTCATTCATTATATTACTCTTTTTAGCTCTCTCTTTCTCTCTCTCTCTCTCTCTCTCTCTCTCTCTCTCTCTCTCTCTCTCTTTCTCTCTCTCTCTCTCTTTCTCTCTCTCTCAAAATAAATTTGGGGAACACAATTATTTAAAATTAAAAACACCTTAGGTTTCTTTTATGGTTATATACATAGATGTTCATGAATTTCACATTAATAAAAAATGAAGAGATAAAATTTCAAAGTAAAAAGTTGAAATGCAAATTAGTCAACGTCCCTTGAAATGTTTATTGAGAACCCTTCTCCTGCCAGCCTGAGCCAGGGGCAAAAGGCAGAGCTACAGTCAAGGCAGGCTTCATCCTGCCCTCAAACATATTGGAATTCTGTATAAGTTGCTGCAGTTTTCCAAAAATAAAATTGCACTACAGTAGCTTATATAGTTATATGTTTGTGGGTTCGTCAAGTGTGTGATGGTGTCAGGCACTGAAGGTAAGTGCTGCATTCAAGTTAATTGCGATGGGCTCTCACCCATGTTTCTTTAGTTGGCAGTGTTTTTCAGCAATGAAGAGTATATTTCATTCATGGTCATTCATTGATATAGACTTGGGCAAAGCTAAAGAAGCCAGTGATGCTATACAGAGGAAAACCACTAGCAATATCCTCACATTTTTATAAATGCTGGGTGACTCATCTTGCTACAGATGCAATGGAATTGTCTGCCCATTGTTGCCTGGACTAACACAGTTTTCCCTCTGGTCTCAGTACAAAAGGATGTAAAAGGCAACAGAATGCTGAATAAGTAAGACCGTGTGCATTCTTCTAAAATATGTAGAATTTAAAATAAGTTTAGATTATGGAACGAGAACAAAAGCAAAGATGTGCAAAGAGCACAGGTATATAAATTCTTTCAAAACCTACGGAAATGTGTTTTAAAGTAGATAAAGAAAATTAACCTCTTTTGAGAATATTTGAGCAGCATCAGAAAAGGCACAGGACATTAAAAAATGGAATAAAAAGTGGAACGTTAAAAAGTTAAATTTGACTCTGGAGTAGAAGCTTCATTTTAGGATGTATCAAATGCCAGTTACTTTAGTTCATATTTTATTTAAAATGCTTGTCAAACTAAGATAGACAAACATTGTACACAGTTAGGAAGGTATGCTTATCTTGTTTGAACTAAAAATATTTTCAATTCACATCTTGTAGAAGAGAAGTTTAAAGTTTTCACCCTGAGCTGCCCAAGCCTTTCAACAAAGCACCCAATACAGAAAGGAGGTAATCTAGGGGAGGGAAGGAAGGAGAGCTTTGTAAAGTATAAGCTCTAATTTTCTAAAGATTGCAACATTGGTTTAGCAATCCAGAGCTGGGAGGATGGCATCTTGTCAGAGTATTCTTTTGCCAAGGGATTGCTTTTTATTCAAACTCACCAAGGAAAGGTTTGTGTTTATTTCTAAGGATTAAGGACAATTACTTTAAGCCTGGTTTGATAGGCTCACCCTTCACAGCTAGCTTAATTGGAGTTTTAAGAGGCTTGTGGTGAAGTACAAGGTTAATGGAGAAATCGCAATCACGAGCCAAGTGTCATGGGCTTTCACTGCAAGGGACTCAATCCCTGGTAATAGTGCCTCTATCAGTTAAGAATAGATGTGTTTGAAAGGTATAATGTGTACTTAAGTAATATTCAAATAGCTAAAAGTTGTTTTTATAAGAGAACAATAAAATATTGCAGCCAATTAAATTAAGTAGGAATCAAAATTGGGCTGTATTGCAAAATCCCTTCTTAGGTTCTACTCCTGGCAATGTATCCATTGATTGTTCTGTGAGAACTGCTGAGGGGTTTTAAAGACAATTTTTTAAAACTGGGTCATTTATCCTGTTGGGTTTTATTTTAGCCATAATGCAGGTCCATGAGGATTTCTTCCATTATAAGTCAGGAATATATAGACATGTTACCAGCACAAATGAAGAACTGGAAAAATATCGAAAGCTTCAGACACATGCAGTCAAACTCACTGGGTAAGGCAATTTCTTAAAAAATCTTCATTTAATGGTTTTGGAAAAATGAAACTAAAAATAAGTGTATATAGTGCATGTAGGCACCAGAGTTCCCTTTTGTGTGAGAGAGTCTGATGCAAATTAAAAATTAGCTAAGCCTCTACACTACTTACTCATTATTTTAAAATTCAGTAAAAGGGAGACTTAAAATTCTGGGAAAGATGACCATTTCCTGTTTCTCACTTCCTTGCAAATGTGTCCTAAGAATCTGTTCCAAGGGCAAGGGAAATATATTATTGGAATAATAATATGGCCTACCTACGGCATAATCAAGAGAATAGTGCAAATGGTAGAGATTAAGCAGGAAGAGAAGGTAAGGTCACCTTTAATTCAATAGATTATTTTTTTATATTTGTGTCAAAACTGTGGAAATTATATTTATCAAATTTGTGAGTAAAATACATTCAAGGGCATGAAACAGGTTCAAAATTTGGTTGCATTTCAAGAATAAGTGATTTCATAAATAGATACTACTCAGAAAGAGAATGTGGTCATTTGAGACCACTGTGTCCAGTGCCTTCTCCATCTCATTCTGACTCGCCCAATCTGTAAGTGCTTTCTCATAATGTCTCACTCTATTTCAAATTAAAGGCAACAGAAAAGGGTATTTTGTTTTGTTTTGTTTTTCCCATCCCCAAACCTCACTTTTCTCATCTTGCCCATTGTGGTAAATAACTTCAATCCTGTTGAATATGCCCTTCCTCTTTAAATTTGATTGAGCCTGCACAAAAACAACCTCTACTATAAACAGATTGTTACCTTCACCTTTGAAACGCTCTAAGTCAATTCTAAGGTACATCAACCAATTATCCTCTGCGATGTCTCTTTAATCATCATCCTTCCTTTATTTTAAATACTCTAATATTTCAATTACAATATTGAAACATTTCATTGAATCTAAGATACTACTGATTTTATCACTTATCTTGATTTCAGGAATGTGAAAATATGTGCATTTTACAATTGAAATATATGGTATTTCATGTTAATGCATGATATTGTAAAGCTACAGATGAGAAAAAATGTATAAAAATAATTTTGCCATTCAGAGATAACGTCTCTTGAAAGTTTGGAGTATTTTTATATATCTCCTAAATATATAGCTATAGAGAAAGATAGCTAAATAGAATACTAGATACATTTCATAAGACAATGAGATATTCAAGTACTTAGAATTTTATAACAAGCAAAATTTTGCTAAACTTTTCTTTAGCAGCATATAAGAATGCCAGTTTCGCAATATTCCTTTAAACACAGGGTGTTTTACTTTTTGATTTAGTCATATTAACCTCCCAAAATCATCATTAACACTTGATGGAAAGCATGTCTTGTAAATCTCTCTGTCTCTCTGTTGAAGAAAAGTTAGATAAACAAAAAATAGAAAGATAATATAGTTTAATGGCATTTAAAAATACTAGTATTCAGGTTAATTTTACTTGAATTTAATGAAATAAAGTGAAATGATATGAATGAGATAATTTTGATTCTTCAACACAAGAGATGCTAGTTCTTAAAAGAATGCTTTATACTTAAGGGAATAGATGCTAAAAGAAGTAGAGATTGAAGTAATCCATTTTTAACTTCGTATTTCGATTTCAGATTAGATCCATTTATTTGTTCACAGACAATGTGAGGAAGTTAAATCATTCTTATACTTCCTACCTCACCTCCTCTCATACATTTTTTTTTTTTTTTTTGGGGTTCTTATAGAATGCACTACATTGTGAATT